TAAGGCGGGACGAAGCCATTTCAAGATTTGAAAACAGATCACGGGATCTTTAAAAGAACTCTCAAATGTAAAGAGAAACTGGAACAAATGTTGAGCAATAATATTGAAATGAAAGCTGAAGATGTGGAAGATCTCTGAGTCATTTGCAGTGATTGTTTTTCCGTTGTGGGTGTCACTCCATCACCCTGTAAACTGAACATCTGTCCCAATCAGAATGTAGTCCTGTGAAATAAAAAGAGACATTTAAAACGTCACAGATAATGATTTAGCCACTAACTTTTAATGGAAATTGCACTCGTTCTGACCTTCAGGATCTGAAGGTCGGGGTTGACGAGCTTCATCTTCCCAATGGTGGGGAGTGGATATCCCTTTGCAAGTTGAACTGCAGAGCAAGCCATACATTCATTTCACAAGACAATAGACATCGCCATAAAGAACGCCCCGATATGGTAGTTGATCTGTAAAAAATGCCCAAATGTTCATATGAAGACCTAATTCGGTCAATTTGTCATGACAGGATGCGCAATTTCTGATCCGCGGTTGTTGAAAACGGCTCCATGTGTCATGGGGGAGCAAAAGCTCATTTGGTCGCCACTTACCATTCACTTTTGGAATAACAACCATTTTCAGGACCAGGTTCAGGATGTTGTCAAGGGATTTGACCTGTATCGTCACTTCGGGTTAGTTCCTCTCACTGGTATGGACTAAAAAGTGGTCATTTGCATCTTACCTGAAAGTCTCCCACATAACTTGTCCCCAGGGTCAGCTCCATTCTGTGCAAATGAGGCACAATTAGACTGTGGCGTTTGTCCTCGCGAGGAACTTTTAGCCCCACCGTTTCCTCAAAGAACAAAGAGTCTTTTTTATTTATTTTTTTGGGAACTTACTTGTTGAGGGTCACCTTTCCAGTTAGCATCATGCCACTAACAAAGACGCTGGCACTGACACTGGTCTCCTGTAAGGGGAAAATGAATACAAATGACGAACGTTTTTTTTTTTTGTTAAAGATTAAAAGTCACAAAATTGGTTTTGCAAAGATTAAGGCCTCAAATAGCACTTAAAAAGTGTTAAATATGAACTCCTGCAGCATTGATTCAATCAAAGCTGCCGCTTAGCCGTTAAGCATCAAGCGAGGTTGGTCGAGCTCTCCAAGGGGGTCTGCATGGACACTCCCAGACCCCCTGCAGAGCCAAGAGCTGAGTGTATGCCCATCTTGTCACTTGGAGTGACTCCAAGTCACTCGTCCTTTTGACTCAAGGGAGATGCTATTCAGCAACTCTTCAAGATAACATGTGGAACATCATTGGGATCGTTTCTGGCTCCTTTGCAGGAAAGCTGCATCACGCCTGACAATGCCCATCACTATCCAAGCATATTTGTATGAGGTAAACATACGTGTCCACCTTTATGTTTGTTCACAGGAGTATGAAAAAGTTGACATTTCTTCAAGAAGATGACAGTAAAGAAAAGTTTGTGACGTGCCATGTTGAGGACAAACAGCGGCGAGAGCGTGCCGTTGGCTTGGATGGCATAGGCCGTCACCGTGCTGGTGGCTTGAATCGTCGCGTTGTTGCTCTCCACGGTGACGATGGGCGTTTCCGCCGTTTTTACCAGCAGTTTCATCAACAAACACGGGAAAGATTTGGCAATCTGAAAGTTCAAGGCAATATTTTTGGACAAATCACTTCCTGTGCCCGAGTTCATCGTTTTGCGAGATTGACTGTCACCTGGGGGATGAAACCGCCAAATGTTCTGGTGTTGAGCCTGAATGGGGAGCTTTGAGGGATCTGCGGCGATGGAGCGACAATGGTTACACATCAACATGAAGGCATGGAAGTTGACACGTTTGAAATGAGAACGCTGCGGCCAGCCGCGGCCCACCATGTCATCGGTGATGTACAAGCTCAGGGCTCCGGCGGTGTGGTAGACAAAAGCCGCAGAGTTGGCGGTGAAGGCGGACACGCCCAAGTACAACATTTTCTTGTCCTCGGTTGGCAGAGAGAAGACCGCAGCGGGGAACGGAGTTTCCTGCTTTTTCTCGATGTTGTAGAATTCCCCCTAATTTCCAGAAGAAGGGCAATCCAAATGTGGAGCTCCGCCTTTCAAATCATTTCAACCGTGAGACGCGCGCTTTTACCTTCAAGCTCAAACCGATGGAAGACTTGACGATCGTGGGGTCGGCGACCATGGAATATTCAATCTCTGCGTACTTGTCCACTTGGGCCAAGACTGCGGGAAAGAGGAAAGAGATTGAAAGCTGTTCAGTCACAGCACCGCTCGGCATTCCCATGCAATTCAATCTGAGAGAAATGTCATTTCCCACCCAAGTGCACACGTGCGTGCTTTTTCTGATTTAAGCGCAACAGAGAATATGCTCCCAAATCTTGTCCGTTGCTATCATCCAATGAAAAGCGGCGCGAAATAGGTTCTGACGTATTCACCCATGACATGAATAGGCTTGCTTACCATTGAGCGTTTTCAACTGAGGGTTCAAATCAGTCACGGCGTCAGCCACCAGGGGGCAGATCTGAAAAAGTCAATCAGAGTACGATTCTCACTCCATAAACCGATTCACTTGTTTTGTGGGAAGATGTGAATCCGTTTTAAGATTCTCATCACGTTTTTAGACTTCAATGTGACGATAACTGACAGGAAGCCGTGTGTTCAAACTTGACAATCAGGACAAAATCATTGAGCTGCCACCGTCTAGTAACGCAGCTCAACGCGTCGGTCGGCAATTTTCATCAGTTAACTATTGAAATGAAAACAGGTTTCAGTTTCGGGCCGTCGTTTGCTTTCTAATGAAAACCGAACCACGAGAGCTAATTCCTTCCAAATGTTTTCATTGCTCAGCCACTCAAGCAAATGACATTTGGATCACTGCCGCCCTCCGAACATCATATCCATCCATATTGCATCTTTGTAGACTGTGCATTATGCGATTCGTTTAGCTTTCTGTAAAGTGTGAAGAGATGCAATTATTTCT